TTTTGTTTTTTTTTTTTTGTGTGTGTGTGTGTGTGCCCGCACGCACGCGCGCATGTACCCCTTTCTCCTCAGTCCCAGATGAGAAACTGTTCCAGAACACTCTAGCATACACTTTCTTTTTTTTTTAAGATTTATTTTTTTATACAAGCTCTGGGTACAGTCAGAAGTGCGGGAGGGTGAGAGAATTTACCAGAGCCAGAGAGGGAGCAGAACAGGCAGAAGGACCGAAGTACACTGCTGAGGGGAGCAGTGGGCGGCAGGAGAGGTCTGCGTGCCATGTGGGACCCTCCCCTGGAGGCTGGGGATCGAACTGGCACTGAAGAGGCTGCGGGCAGGCTTGCAACCCAGCGCTCAACCGCTGCGCCACTGGGGAGGCCCTCTAGCATACACTTTCAAAGCCTAAATTGTCTCAGTCTTCTCCCAGGTCCTCCTTATTCTATCTTTTTTCCTTCATCGTGCCCTTAGGAACTTTTGGTTCCTGAGGTTTTATAGAAAATCCTAGAGGGGCACAGTGGTTGAGAAAGGCTAACCTAAGGGGCCTTGTGTTTGCAATAAAGTCCTTGTAAGGCAATTCAGGTCAATTTCCCTCAAAAACAGAAGAGGGAACAGGCCCAGGCATGCCCAAGGTCACATGACTTCCAATGCATTACATCCTGTTGATTCATGTCTTCATATCTTTCAAAGGAGGAGAGATTTTAAAGAAGGAAAGAAAGGTCAGCTATCACATGCTGCTGGGAACATAAGTAAAGGGGTTCTTCATAGCATGTGTCCCACTTTAGAATTCTATATTTATTTGTTTAGCCTCTCTTTCCCCCTTTAGATTGTAGGCTCCATGAGGGCCAGGATTCTCACTCCTTTATATTAAGTGCTTGGCATATGGCCTGAACACAGCAGGCACAGAACTCAACCAACATATAGTGACATTGGAGTGAGATACCCTCTCCTCCAATGCCAAGAGAGAATGTCCTCAGACCTACCCTCTCCCTACCACTCCCAGCACCCCCACTACCACAAGACCCAGGAGAGTTAGCTACCCCTTTTCTGTAGCCTCCAAAATATGACCTGGTTAGATGTCATGTGGTTACCCTGAATTGGAAAGATCGAGTTTTGCCCTACTGAAAAGAATGAGGACTTGAGAACTGAATTACAGACACATAATCTTGCTTTCATTTTTCACACAATGAGAATTATAATCTTTGATATTTGAGTCTTATGTAAAAATCATTCCAAGGCAACACTGCCTCCTCATACTGTGAGCAGTACGTTTGGCCAGTGGACGTCAGGGAAACCTCCCAGAAGAAATGTCAATAGACTAACAATATACAAGGGCAGGAATATTAGAACAATGGTGTTCCCTGTATCACTGAGTCCCCTATTCATACAACTCTTCCTCCACTTATGATGGGGTTGTGACTCAATAAACCTATTGTAAGTTGAAAATCCTAATTTGAATATGCATTTAACACATCTAACCTACCAGAACCTCATAGCCTAGCCTTCTACTGAATGTTTTTAGAGGTGTGTCTTTTCTTACCAACCCTTTCCTCACCAACCCTCCTCACCAACCACTTCCTCCTCTGGGCAACTTCTATGCCCTGTACACAAATCCATCATTGCCCTCTCTACCCTTCAGCACCATTGCTGGTTTCCATGCACACTTCACTTACCAGATTGTGAACTTCTGAAGGGCACAGCATGGCATTAGTCACCATCAATCTCCTAGTACCCAGCTGAGCACTTTATGCAGCGTGATGGAAAGGTTGATGGAGTTGAGTTGGTAGAGAAGGAACCCCAGGTGTCCTTTTCCCTGTTTCTCTTTGGTGACCATGCCACCTTCCTACTTATACAGCAAGAAGCATGGCTGTGCCTCAGCTACCAACGTAGCACTTTCAGGCTGATCTATTAGTATTGGTTGGCAAGAAGGCCCCTGAATGAGAGGCAGGGCATGCTTAAGATGGTGATGACTGCACCAAGTGGTGACAGTTCATACTGCTTCTTGTTCAGGCCCTTCAGAGGGTTCTGAAGTGGACATCCAGTAAGATAGAGTCTTGACCAAATTGTCTCCTCTCCTGGAAAGACCGATGTCCAAGAACGATAGATGTGAATGGAGCAAAGAGGAGAACTGCAGTCTGGATGGTCAAGTGGACCCCAGTCACCTTAACCATCAATGAGGACAGGGCAGATGTCATTAGAGACCACATACACCACATGTGAGACTCCAAAAAAGATGGCATGAGCTTCTTCTCTAGGGTCAAGGGGATCAAAGCAGATAGCCTCCTGCTCTTTGATGAGTGGGGTTTTTCTGCGGGTAGTGGCCAGTAGGAAGACTATAATAGCAGTCAGTGTTACCTGTACCACCTCACTCCCCAGGGCATTCATGGTGGGAGATGACTGAGGACTTAGTGTGCAGACACTCACTAGTTCATCACTGACCCTTGTTCTCTGTTGGCTTGACCTGAAAAATATTGGGTTATGTGAAAAACAAAACCTGAAAGTTTCTTAAAACTCAACAGAAACAAGATATTTAAGCTGTGTTTGTGGAATTCACTTACCTAAACCTTTCTTATCCTTACTCTTAGAAGCCTTTCTTAGTCTCCTTGGAAACAAAACCCCATCTTCCTCTAAAAAACACCTTTGTCCTTTCTTATTTTCAGCCTTTTTGTAGAAAGTGATACTTACTCCTTGCCAACTCTGGCCTGCAAGTTCCCAAGACTGCCTGACACTGGCCTGAATAGGTAGATGTTACAATAGTAAAATAAATAAGTCTCAACTATGTCCTTTTATTTACTTGGGATCTTGTCTTATCTGAATTTCTACCAGTCTGACAAACTAGCTTGTCATATTTGACTTAAGACTTTCTTCAAAAGTAACCCACCAAAACCCACAGCTGCTACTGGAAAGTGTAATACATTAATACATCTATGCATTGATTCAAGGTCAAGTGGGTGAATGTTTTATGTAGGTATCATGCCAGGTGCAGTGGAAACCATTTGTCCTCTTCCTTATCTGGATGTGGAGACACACGTAACAGTGCTTGGAACAAGTCATGCTTCAGGTATCTCTGGATATGTTGTAGAGCAGCCCCGATACAAAATGGGGTGCCTGACTGTGGGTCCTCACCCGGGCGCTTAAAAGGACTTATCAGTGCTCTACTGCAGGCACACGCGAAAGGTTAATAAAAGGTTTATTGACAAGGGAAGGGGAAATGAGGAAATGTACAGCTCAGGGAGAAGAGTGGGAGACAAAGTTTTAAATGAGTCCTACCCGATCCGTCGATCAGGAATCCCAAAATGGCACTCTGAGAGCTGGCCGCGAGCCAGGAGCCATGAAGCCAGGAGGTGAGCAATAGCGAGCCACCCCAAGGCCCACGTGTTTGGTTTTTATATCCAACCTGGCTGCCCAACTCCACCCTCAGGTCCCAGCCACCTTCCCTTTGGTGGTGATGGGATTTGTCTTTCCCAATGTCTTGATGGCTTTAGTCTGGAGTGGGGGTGGGGTCCACAAAGCCTGTATGGGATTAACTCAGGACATCATTTCCCCCTAATAGATACAGGAGGCTAACAGAGAGGTAGTTAAGGAAGGAACCAACAAAGAACAGACATGGGAAGTGGGAACGTGATCCTCAGGAAAAGCAGGCCAGAAAGTCCCAAAAAATCTGATTCATTTCTACCCCCCTTTGGTGCCTTCATTAGACACTGTTAAATAGTGTCATGCTTCTATCCCCAGTTCACAGATAAAGCAACTGAGACTCAGTGATCACAAGTGGCTTCATAACAGCACTTTACAGATGTGCTAATAAGAAGGGAGACTGAAAAGTCTTTTGCAGTTCTGAATGCCAATGTCCAACATTTGTCATCTCTTGATAAGGACCACTATGGGGGGATACTGAGAGCCAAAGCTTGCAATAGCAAACTGGTTAAAATTCTGGTTCCTATTTCCATGGTGATCCCCACAACAACTCCCCATCGATCTTCAAGATCAAAGGACTCCATTTTGGCAAGAACAAAGATAGATACAAGTCATGATGATATGAAGTGTTTCCCTGTGTTCCAACCAAGAGGTACACAGAATATGTCCACATGAGAAAAAATTAGGGTGTCATCTGATAACTATTGTCAATGTAACTCACCCACCTAAAACTTTCTTAACCTTATTGTTATAAGTCTTCCTTATTCTTCTTGAAACAAAATCCCATCTTCCTCTAAAAAGCGTACTCAGCTATGAAGATTTTTTCACTAAGCCTAATATGGCCATCCACTTGCCCTATTCATTGGAATCTATCCCGCTTTGCCCAGCTCACTGGAATCTATCCCAACATGATAAGCTAGGCTTTGCTAGGGACGGAAATGTAACCAGCACCGCCTTGCTCCATAGGAGAAATAATAGCATGATCTTTGGGCCCCATAATCCCATAGACTAAAGCATGAAGAGCCTTGCATACTAAAAGTTGTGCTAAACGTGTGCAGGAAGACGCTGGAGACACCCCCACAGCCCATCCCCTCATTGGCTTGCTCACAGCTGCCCTCCCTGTGCACTTTCACAACTCTGTTTACATGCTTAGCATACAGATATGACTAAGACCCAGACATTATTCAGGTTGAAGATAGATACAAATAAACAGATAATTATAGTCCAACTCTGTAAAGGTTATAACACAGCTATGAAAAACAATGTCCTTATCAATGGCAAATGACTTTTGTTTCTGTCCCCTTAGCAACTGGTCAAAGTTGAATCTTAAATAATATTCAGGAAAGCATTAACTGCAGATATCAGTACAGATCATTCCAGACTCACAGTGGTTTGACTTTTGACGTTTTGACTTAATCCGTTTTTGACTTTACACTGGTGTAAGGGACTTGGGTCTGAGCTGGGTGTTGAAAGACAAGCACGAGCCTTTAAGGGGTACAGGGGCATTTCTAGGCAGAGGAAATTGCATGTATAAAAATCTATAAACAGAACTTGTGTGAAGAATTTCAATACTTATGGAATGTGAGCTGTCATGGAGACAAGAGCAGATGAGGGGAGATTTAAGTTCAGTGGTTTTACATCAATTTCTGTAACCTTTGGGCTTACTGATAACGCTGTAAAGTTGTTTAATCATTGATTCCCTAAACTGAGCATGCCAGGGTGCTTTGCCAGCTCTGCGGGTGGAGCTTGTCCTTGCAGGTGGAGCACAGGTAGCCCTTCTACTGGCTGCGGCTCCAGTCCCGCCCCTTCTCCCAGCACATAAACCTTCCAGTTTCACCAAATCACCACTGGGCTGGAAGGGAAACTTTCCAGGCACTGGCCAGCAAGGACTATCAGGAGCCGCTGAAAGGAAAATCCAGAGGAGAGAATCTCAGCAGGAACGTGACCATGGACCTGATCCCAAACTTTTCCATGGAAACATGGGTTCTCCTGGCTATCAGCCTAGTGCTCCTCTATCTGTGAGTATCTGTTCAGGTTCAGTGCTTTGGCAACCTTGGTCTTGGGGGTGCTAGCCAGGTGCCCCTTTTCTTTATCTGTTGTGAAGATCAAAAGGGTTAACTGAGCGGAAATTGCTCCAGCATTAGATGCTATAACACATAAAAGGTTATTATTGATCTTATGTAGAGCTGCTAAGGGAGTAAAACCCCTCTCCTGACAATGCCTAATTTCTTTGGTTAGGAGGTTTTGTAATATTTGCTCTGCCGGAGCCAGTGTGGGCCTAAGTTAATTGACCAAAATTCAGTTGCAGTAGATTAAAAATAGTTGGCGCCTCCTCCTGGGATCTCCTCCTAAGACTCAATTACTCATTCTGTAATATGCAGAACTACTTGCCCCTGAATGAGAAAACCTGAGCGTGGAGAAGCCCTGGCAGAGATTTTGACATTGTAATCTTTTCTTTTACCATTTCCTTCCAGTCTCTAGGGAGGTTATCTTGGTCTAGAGATTTATTTTCTCCCTGATATAAAATTTGCTAGCAGCCTGCAAATGCATGAGTCCCCCCAACCAGATGAGTTAAAAGTATCTTTCCCCTTTAAGTTATAATTTAGCAGGATGAATCGAAATCATCTAGCAGAGGAGTTCCTTTGAGTGGTGGGATTCCTGATCATGGAGCAGGTTGGGAAAGAAGTTATTTTTGATGCGTGGATAGATAAGTCACCCTCCATGTCACATTTGAGCTCTATTTAAATATCACTTTCATTAGGAGTAGGAAATCATGACACAAACATAGACAGCATAAACTTGTTTTAATTCTTTGAAAGAAATTCTAGGAGTTCAGGGTATCATAGCAATGTATTTTTTGTCTGATGGTATTATCACTGACATGGTGTAATTTCATTCTGTTTAATACCAGATCTTTTATTGACTCAAGATTAGTTTTGTTTGTTTGTTTGTTTGTTTTACCTGAAGGATAAAATAGGTTCAGTCAGTACTTGTGACCACAAAGATGTATAAACAACCACACCCTTCTAGAATAAGGCTGGGAATGTGACTCTACTGTACAAATAATATCTTTCGGATATAGATTATGTATGTGTTTTTAAATATTTCTGTCTAGCAGTTTCTTTTAATCTCTCAGTGCTAGTGAGTAAGAGAGATTGTGAGCCAGTGATAGGAGAAGCTCCTACTGGAGTCAGGATGGAGTGAAGGACTATTCCTCCCTCAGAGCAGACGTCCCACAGAGAACTCTTGGTCCTGGTCACACAGGAGATCACTCACTGGGCAGCATGGTCGGCCTGTTATCTACTTGAAGCCTGGGGACAGGGGCAGCAGCTAAGTCAAACTGTGTGTGGCCTGCCTAGCAATGGACTATCATTAGCTAGTGTCTCTACTGGGCAAACCACACTGTAGCCTTAGAAGACACCGGCACAGCCAAGACTTAGTATGCTTACACAATGTAAATGAAAAAAAAAAAATCACCCAGCCCATCCTCTGCTTTCTTTCATGTCAAGCCATGTGAGTTTACACATTTAGTCTAGATCTTTTCTTGGGGACAAATGTCTCTGATACAGTCTTTCAACACCTTGACTTCTTTTGAGAGTTCATGTAACACTTTGAAAGTTCAGAGGCAGAACTGGTTTAAGTGATTTGCCAATCAATTGGTTGAGTGATAGTGACGACAAAGGAAGAAACTGGGTGGGACAAACAGAGGCCAAAACCCCTGTTTTTGGCAGTTGATGCACCTGCCTCCACCATTTGCCTCAGAGAAAGGATATAAATGCCCAGCTGGTCCTGGCCAGAGTGCCTCTGCTGTGTCCTTCAAGCACAAGTCCTTTCACCCATTTTTTTTCGTTTATAACATAAGGTTTGTATAATCTGTACAAAATACTTGGAACCTGTAAGTGCCTTAAAGGCTAATCTCCAAAGAAGAAGAAATAGGTCTTCAACAATCTGGGACATTTTGTGGTTACTCATTTTATGTTGTATAACATATCTTTTGCAATCAGCAGGGAGGTACCGGAACTGCGGAAAAGCACCTATCTTTTAGCTGAAAGCCCTGGGAGGGCATGATGAACCGTTTATAACCAGCATATTCTTCAACTGTACTTTCCTAATTTGCCTCGATAGGGTTAGTCTTGAAAGCCTAGCAACTTCAAGATTAAAATGGTTGCTAGCAACCGCTTCCCTCAACCTCTCACTTCTGCCTCCTCTCTGCTGTCTCTTAGTAACAGCCTGAGTGGGAAGGCTCCCAAGGATCCAGAGCCCCCAGTTGTGGGATTTACATGTGACACATGAAAGATGAATTGCAGGCAACCTTAAAGAAGCATCAGCCTTAATGGGTTTTTGAGATAGTTGATGCACAGATGCAGTAACCTAACTGCTCTGTGATTGACCATCTTGAAAAAAATGAGTGTGCTTGGCACTATGCTTAGCAGGTGAGTATCACATGTTAGTGGACCAGTTGCCATGAGGGGAAGAATGGTATGGAAATGAATTATTTAACTATTGATTTCTTTATACAGTATCATTCAGGGAACATATGGTCAATCATTTTTCTCTACAGCTCAAGTCAACAAAATTGCCTGACAACAGAGACAGGTGTAGCTGAAAGGTGCTCATATTTCTGAGGCTAATGGAAGTCTTGATCACAGTTTCATCCCATAGAAATAAGAGCACTGTGACTGCTCCAGGTCTCTTTATGAACATAAATTTAAGATGAACGAAATCCTGAAACCTGGTCAGGGCATAGAGGGAAGAAAAAGCATAAGTTTCTGAGAAAACTGTAAAAACAGTGTCATAGTACAGTCTCAGTAACTCTGTGTTATTGAGTGGATACAGTTAACCAAAATCTCATCATTGGAACAGAAAAGATTTACCTTTTCTGCCTAAAATGAGAATCTCTGAATCATGGAAGAGTCAACTTACTAAAGATACATGAAAGAAATCCTTGGAAGAATTCCAGCCTGAACCTCTCCTGAGCATACAAGTTTGGAAACTTTTCTCATGTTTTCATTGTAGGATTGGGACCATGAAGGCTTCAATTGCTTTTAGCTAATTGTCCTTAGTTTTTTGGGTCTCACAGTAGAGGTGGGAAAGGAGATGATGGCGAATATAATTACTGCTGTTGGAGTTGCTACTATTATTTAATGCCTACATGTTACCTCTTAGCTTATAGATCCCAATCAGTAATGGATCAGATCCAGCATCTACCCCACAATCCCTGTGACCGGCTCTCTCTTTCAATTTATAGCTATGGGACCTATTCACATGGAACTTTTAAGAAGCTGGGAATTCCTGGGCCAACACCGATGCCTTTTTTGGGAACTGTTCTGGCCTACCGTAATGTGAGTGTTGTTTGAGCCCCTTATTTTGTCTGTGGTTGTAAATACCTGCTGAGTGCCATAGTAAAAATGTCCATCCCTGGAGGAAATTCTGAGGTTCCATATTTTCCAGAAATGACTTCGTAGGTCCCACCCAGCACCGGGCCAGGTTTACCCCAGGGCTCTATTGTCAGCTATATAGAGCCTTGGGTTTGCCTTCAGTCAGTCAGCCCAGCTCTGACTGATTCAGCACAGGAATGAATGGCCTAACATGTGAGCATTGTGAAGAGGATTATCTTACAGGCAGGGACAGATTTCCGGGTAGGCACATTCATACTTAAGTGTTAAGAGAAAAACATGATGGGAGTGCTGGTAGTAGTTTACCAAGCTGTGTAACTAGACTTAAACTTCCTGTTCATAGTATGAACTCAGGAAAGATTTTCTTCCTCCTGGACAGAGTCAACTTACTAAAATTGACACGTCAGTCTATTTGGCAATCCAAGTAGTCACCATTGGGTGAATCCCCCTGCAGTTATTTCCATGACTGTGCTCTACTTTTTGTCACGCATGACATCTTTGGGGATTTGAGAGATTCCTTGAAAGGAGGCATCCTGTGGGTGAGTCTGAGCACCCTACAGGTATAACTGAGACAAAATGGCGGCTGTCTATCGGCTTCAGATATTTAACCACTAAATGATTTTGTTGTTTTTTTTAACACAGGCAGAATTGCTTATACAAGATCACTAGAAAGGATATGATTTAATGAAATTATAAAAATGTAATTTCACTTAGTGGCATGTATTAGGTGATACATGGACTGGATTTTGGCAGGACCTTTGTGACTAATCCGGCTCTATGCCTCACCCAAGGCCTGGCCTTGGATGGATGTTATGAACTGGTGTCCAGAAGGCAAGTGGGCAGCTCAGATTCCTCTCCTGTAGGCCTGAGCCTTGTTTCTCAGATCCTACATTTCCCAACTAGGGCCTCATTGCCTCCTTACTGCCTAAGAACTTTCTGTACTTTTTTCCCTCAGAAAAAGTCATTATTTCCTTTCTACCTTTCTCTTAATAAAAGCACCTGAAGACTCACATTGTGGAACTTTCTTTTGCACATTTAAAATATAAAATATAACAGTTGAAATGTGTGACAGGATTTTTTTTAATTCAATTTACAGAAGCAAAAACTCAGAGCCAGAGTCTAATTTGCTTTGTCCTTTTGGAAGTGGTGGCACCTTCTGTCTTTTCCACATTGAGCTGGAAAAGTGGAAGGTCCTTTTTGTCAAATACCCGTTCACTTTCTCTCTCAACAAACATGCCTTAGAGTTTGTTAAATCTGCTTGTCTTTGGTGTCTTTAACTTTCTCATTCTACTGGAATTCTAGCGAGGCCTGTGAGATGAAGGGAAAGGGTGCTTAACTAAGAGAGCTGAGTGTGTGTGACTACTTGTGGTCATATTCCCTCAGCTGCAATCTTCTCTGTCCCTGGAGGTGATAATTCAGAGGGTTATGAGACGTTCGAGGCAACTATACACAAAACATCCACAAAATATGCCAGAGACAAGGTGTTACTGGAGAGTAGATGGGATAATTTGGTCAGTACCCACTATACTCAGAGAACAGTCAAAGGTGACCTTAAATACTGTTTCAAATGTCTGCTCTATTTACTGTCCTTTCTCCTAAGACATCTCTGAATAAGCTTTCCTGTAATTACCGGTTAAAGTTCGTAAGCCTGGTTTCATGCTATTCAAATAGTCATTTTTGTCCCAATTAGAAGTAGGGTTCAAAATATTTAGATCAATAATGTAATTTTGGTTTTTGTTACAGGGTTTTTGGGATTTCGATATGAAATGTTTCAAAAAGTATGGAAAAATGTGGGGGTGAGTATTCTGGACATTTCCTGTATGTAACTTATTATGAGGAGGACAATCTCCTTCAAAGCCTCTTGGGATGGAGCCTATTAGAGGCCTTCAGAGGCTTTTCCTACAGAGATCCTCTATGTCCCTGGGTTCCAGGTCTCTGACTCAGACCTGGAGAGTCTCACTTTTTCTCCAGTCTTTGATGGCCTGGGGACATCCTAGCATCACTTCCTATTTGGTGTCTCCTATTCCTCTGGTCTCATTTTTCCTTCCTATGTCCATTTAAACTGCATAAAATACATTATTTCAGACTCTTAATGTCTGCATGCCATTGCCTTTTCCCATATGACTCACATTTAATTAAAATTTAAATAATCAATTAATTAAATTAATTAATTCATTTAATTATTTAATCATAAATTGAAATTTAATTTATTTAAATTTTTTCTTTTTTTATTTTATATATTTCTTACATCATTTTCATTTTTGAACAATGTATGCATTTTCATCTTGGTTATAGTCCCCATACAATTCCCACCCCCCCTTGTTTTGTTCCTACTCCCTCCCCCCTCCCCCATAGTGTGTCTCTGGTTTATAGTTGCTTGTTGATTTTGATTTTTACTTTATTATAATTAGTCTTTTTCCTGGTCCCTTATTTAGGTTTTCTAAATTCCTGCTATGAGTGAGACCATCTGGTATTTTTCTTTTTCTTTCTGGCTTATTTCACTGAGCATGATCCCTTCCAGCTCCATCCATGTAGCTACAAATTGCATGAGTTTATCTTTTTTGATGCTGAGTAATATTCCATGGTGTATATGTACCACATCTTCTTGATCCAGTCATCTATTTTTGGGCATTTGGGTTGTTTCCATAGCTTAGCTATTGTAAATAGTGCTGCTATAAACATAGGGGTACAGGTGCCCTTTTGAATTAATGTTTCTGTGTCATTTGGGCAAATGCCTAGGAGTGGAATTGCTGGATCATATGGAAGCTCCTTCTTTAGTAGGTTGAGGAATCTCCACATAGCTTTCTATGGTGGTTGGACCAGTTTGCAGTTCCACCAGCAGTGCAGGAGAGTTCCTTTTTCTCCTCATCCTCGCCAACATTTGTTGTTGCTAGTTTTTTTAATATGTGCCATTCTCACTTGTGTAAGATGGTATCTCATTGTAGTTTTGATTTGCATTTTCCTGATTACAAATGATGTTGAACATTTTTTCATATGCCTGTTGGCCATTTGCATTTCCTCTTTGGAGAAGTTTCTTTTTAGCTCTTCTGCCCATTTTTGAACTGGATTATTTACTTCTTTTTTTTTTTTTTTTTTTAAAGATTTATTTATTTATTTATACAAGCACTGGGTACAGTCAGAAGCACGGGAGGGTGAGAGAATTCGCCAGAGCCAGAGCGGGGCACAAAACAGGCGGACAGATGAAATACACTGCTGAGGGGAGCAGCGGGAGTGGCAGGAGAGGTCTGTCGCGCCATGTGGGACCCTCACTGTCGACTGGGGATCAAACCAGCACTGCAGAGGCTGTGGACAGCTTCGCAGCCCAGCGCTCAACTGCTGCGCCACCAGGGGAGGCCCTGGATTATTTACTTTGTTTTTGTTGAGTCTCGTCAGCTTTTTGTAGATTTTTGTGATCAGTCCTTTATCATTAATGTTGTGTTCAAAAATTTTCTCCCAATTGGTGGGGTTTCTCTTTGTTTTGGTTACTGTCTCTTTTGCTGTAAAGAAGCTCTTTAATTTGATGTAGTCCCAGCTGTTTATTTTTGCCCTTACTATCACTTCGTTGGGTGATGTGTCTTTAAAGATGTTACTGAGGTGTATGTCATGTAGTGTTTTGCCTATATTTCCTTATATATTTTTTATGGTTTCAGGTCATATGTCTAATTCTTTAATCCATTTTGAGTTGGTTTTTGTGCATGGCGTGAGGTAGTAGTCTAGCTTCATTCTTTTGCATGTAGTGACCCAGTTTTCCCAGCACCATTTATTGAACAAACTTTCTTTTCTCCATTGCATATTATTTGCTCCTTTGTCAAAGATTAGTTGACCATAAATCTGTGGGTTTATTTCTGGATTTTCTATTCAGTTCCATTGGGCCATGTGTCTGTTCTTATTCCAATACCATGCAGTTTTGATTATTATGGCTTTGTAATATAGTTTGACATCTGGGAGTGTGATACTTCCATTCCCCCCCCTTTTTTTTTTCAGGAGAGCTTCAGCTATTTGGAGTTTTTGGTGGCTCCATATGAATTTCATCAATATTTTTTTTTTAAATATTGAAAACTCTTTTTTTTTAAGATTTATTTTATTTTATTTTTATTTATTTATTTATACAAGCACTGGGTACAGTCAGAAGCACGGGAGGGTGAGAGAATTCACCAGAGCCAGAGCGGGGAGCAGAGCAGGCAGAAGGACCGAAGTACACTGCTGAGGGGAGCAGCGGGCGGCAGGAGAGGTCTGCGCGCCATGCGGGACCCTCCTCTGGTGGCCGGGGAGCAGCCGGGGCTCGAACCGGCACTGCAGAGGCAGCGGGCAGCTTCGCAACCCAGTGCTCAACCGCTGCGCCACTGGGGAGGCCCAAATTTCATCAATATTTGTTCTATTTCTTTGAAGACTGTCATTGAAATTTTTATTGGAATAGCATTTGAATCTGTAAATTGTTTTTGGTAAAATGGCTATTTTGATAATGTTAATTCTTCCAATCCATGAGCAGGGGATGTCTTTCTATTTCTTTGTATCTTCTTTTATTTCTTTTAACAGTGTTTTGTAATTTTCTTTGTATAGGTCCTTTACCTCTTTTGTTAGGTTTATTCCCAGGTATTTGATTTTTTTTTTTGTTTCAGTAATAAAAGGGATGGTTTTCTTGATTTCTTCTTCAGATTGATGGTTTGTGTATAGGAAGGCTACTTATTTTTGTGCATTGATTTTGTATCCTGCTACTTTACTAAACTGATTGATTAGTTTGATTAGTTGTGAGGAGTTTTGGGGGTTCTCTATGTATATTATCATATCATCTGCAAATAGTGATAGTTTAACTTCTTCCTTCCCTATTTGGATTCCTTGTATGTCTTTCTCTTGTATTATTGCTCTGGCTAGGACTTCCAGTGTTATATTGAAAAGCGGTGGTGAGAGTGGACATCCTTGTCTTGTTCCAGATCTTAATGAAAATGCTTTTAACTTTTCACCATTGAGAATGATATTGGCTATGGGCTTGTCATATATGGCCTTTATGATGTTGAGGTATGTTCCTTGTATCCCGAGAATTTCAAGGGCCTTTATCATAAATGGGTGTTGTACTTTGTCAAAAGCTTTCTCAGCATCTATTGATTTATCATATGGTTTTTATATTTCTTTTTGTTCATGTGTTGGATTACATTGATTGGTTTTCGGATGTTGAACCATCCTTATGTCCCTGGAATAAATCCTACTTGGTAGTGGTGAATTATCTTATGGATACATTGTTGGTTTTTGTTAGCTAAAATTTTATTGAGGATATTTGCAGCAGTGTTCATTAGAGAGATTGGCCTATAGTTTTTTTTTTTGTGTGTGTGTGTGTTGTCCTTGTTCGGTTTTGGTATTAGTGTAATATTGGCTTCATAGAACGTGTTTGGTATTATCCCTTCCTTCTCAATTTTTTGAAAGAGTTTATGAAGGATAGGCACTAATTAGTTTCTGAATGTTTGGTAGAATTCATTTGTAAATCCATCTGTTCCTGGGCTTATGTTTTTGGGGAGGGTTTTGATTACTATTTCAGTTTCACTGCTTGTAGTTGATCTGTTTAGGTGTTCTATTTCTTCTTTATCTAGCTTTGGGTGATTGTAAAGTTGTAGGAATTTGTCCATCTCTTCTAGATTGTTGAGCTTGTTTGCATATAACTGTTCATAGTGGTTTCTGATTATTCTTTTGATTTCTGCTGTGTCTGTTGTGATTTCTCCTCTTTCATTTGTAATCCTATTTATTTGTGCTTTCTCCCATTTTTCCTTTGTGAGCCTGGCTAGGGGTTTGTCTATTTTATTTATTTTTTTTGAAGAACCAGCTCTTGGTTTCATTGAACTTTTGGATTTTTTTTTTTAGTTTCTATTTCATTTATTTCTGCTTTGATTTTTATTATTTCCTTTCTTCTACTGGTTTTAGGGTTTTTGTTCTTTCTTTTGTTCTTTGAGATGTGTGATTAGGTTGTTTCTTTGAGTTCTTTCTTGTTTCTTGATGTTAGCCTGTATTGCTATATGTTTTCCTCTTATTACTGCTTTTGCTGCATCCCATACATTTAGGAAATTGGTGTCCTCCTTGTCATTCAACTCAAAGTATTTTTTAATTCCTTCTTTGATCTCCTCATTAGTCCAATGGTCTTCCAGTAGTATGGGTTTCAATCTCCATGAGGTAGGAGGTTCCTTGGCTTCTTTTTATGGTTTATTTCTATTTTGATGCCTTCATGGTCAGAGAAGATGGTTGGTATGATTTCAATCTTGGTGTATCTGTTGATGTTTGTATTGTGTTCCAGTATGTGATCGATTCTGGACAATGATCCGTGTGTGCTTGAGAAAAATGTGTACTCAAATTTTTTTGGGTTTAGTATTCTATAGATTTCAGTTAAGCCCATGAGGTCTGGATCCTTATTTCGAGCTTTAGTGTCCTTATTTATTTTTTGTCTTGTTGATCTATCCATTGTTGATAGCGGTGTGTTAAAGTCTCCTACTACATATGTATTTTCTCTGATGACTGTTTTCAGAGATAATAATAGTTGTCTGATATATTTTGGTGCTCAGCTCACCTCTGGCTGTGGGGACAGCCCTTTCCCAGTTCCAGACAGTCTCGGTGGATTCTGGACGCAGTGATCCCTGTTCTAAAAAAATTCTAATTTATTTAAATTTTGAATTTCATATGTCCTTTTGCAAAAGGGCTGGGCAAGGGATAATGCCAGGAGGAGAGTCTGGACTCCCACGTGCAGAAACCAACTTCTTAAATTTATTTTTTTTAAAGATTTATTTACTTATGCATACAAGAACTGGGGTACAGGCCAGAGGTGTGGGGGGTGAGAGGATTCACCAGAGACAGTGTGGGGAACAGAAGAGGCAGACTGACTGAAATACACTGCTGAGGGGAACAGCGGGCGAGTCAGGAGAGGTCTGCTGTGCCATGTGGGTTGCTCCCTGGCCAGCCAGGGATCGAACTCATGCTGCAGTGGCTGCGGATAGCTTCATAGGTTGCATCTTAACCCCTTGCACCACCAGGGAGGCCCCAACTTCTTAAATTTAATCAGTTCTGTTTTCTGGACACAGGTTTTACGACGGTCAACAGGCTGTATTGGCTATCACCGATCCAGACATGATCAAAACAGTCCTAGTGAAAGAATGTTATTCTGTCTTCACAAACCGGCGGGTAGGCATCCATTTTTTTTAAAGTTATTCATTAACTAAATTTTTATTTTGAAATAATTATAGATTCACAGGAAGTGAAGGCGGTTCTATGTCAGGTAACCTTCATCCTGTTTCCCCCGATGCTGATATCTCACCCAATGATGGTACAATATCAAAGCAAGAAGCTTACATTGGTACTGTCCACAGAACTTAGTCAGATTCATTACGTTTATGTGCCCAGATCAATTTATCATTTGGTCTATGACAGTTTGTCACATGTGTAGAAAACAAACACCACAACCAAGAAACAGAGCTGCTTATTGCATAAGGCTCCCTCTTACTATTTTTTTTTAAAGATTTAATTATTATTTATACAAGCACTGGGTACAGTCAGAAGCACGGGAGGGTGAGAGAATTCACCAGAGCCAGAGCAGGGAGCAGAGCAGGCAGAAGGACCGAAGTACACTGCTGAGGGGAGCAGCGGGCGGCAGGAGAGGTCTGCGCGCCATGTGGGACCCTCCTCTGGTGGCCGGGGAGCAGCCGGGGATCGAACCAGAGCTGCAGAGGCTGCGGGCAGCTTCGCAACCCAGCGCTCAACTACTGCACTACCGGCGAGGCTCCCCTCTTACTATTCTTTTGTAGTCACAGTGCAGAGATTGCCTTTTTCCCTAAGTCTCTTTAACTGAGCAAACATTTTTTAATTTTGGTAAGGCCAATTTATCAATTTTTCCTTTTATGGATTGGGCCTTTGGTGTCAAGCCTGAAAATTCTTCACCCAGCCCTAAGGTCCTCATGATTTTCTCCTGTTTTTTCTTAAATATTATGTTGTCTTAATGTTTTATGTGTAAGTCTATGATCCATTCTGTGTTAATTTTTATAAAAGATGAGTGGTTTAGGTCAAAGTTCATTATTTATTTAGCCCATGTGATACATTGTGAAATGGTCACCACCATTTGGGAGGTAGGGCATATCCTACCTCCCATATTACCTTTGTGTGTGTTAAGAACACTTAATATCTACTCAGTAATTATTAATTACAGTAATATTAATTATAGTCACCATGCTATACATTAGTTCTTCAGAACTTATTCATCTTATATTGGAATGCTTGCATCCGTTGATCAATATCTCTGTCCCCCTCCCTAGCCTCTGATAAACCACTGTTCTGTAACTTAACTTTTTTCTCATTTGAAAGCCAAATGCCTTTACTCTCCCCCTACCCAATTTATGCTTTAGATGTTACATCTTTACATACAATTTACATCTTTTTACATTATATTCATTAACCTGAGCTGCTGTAGGGGCTGGGACTGGTGTATACATGCCCAGCCTCAGAGCCTGGGTTGGCTGTTGACCTGGATGTGGGCTCCTGGAGCATTGGTAATGGTACTGACTGGGGTAGCTGTGGTGGAGGTGGAAAAGGGCAGGGCAGGTCTCAGAGAGCTACAGGTTTCTGTGCAAGCCCCGCCTCTCCCATCAGCCACCAAGTCTGCAGGGGGTCCCCAGATGCCATGCTAGTTTCCTTGGTAGTAAAGATTGCTGTGGTTTTCTTCAGAGCAGAGCACAGAGACCCAAGGTCATTGGATCATATGGCTGATATTAAGAGTCCTTGCCCTTTATTCAGTCTCTGGGTGGAGTGAAACCAAAGCAGGTGCAATGTGCAATGCCCTGAAAGACTAGTGAAACTGGTTGTTCACCCCTCTCTCCTTTCCTCGCAAGAGGAACTCTCTCAGGTTGGGAAATTCCTTCTTGGCACTGAGCAGAGCTGGTCTGGAGGATGGGACGATGTGGGCAAAATGAAACTTCTTCCTACCCTTTTGGTGCAGTTTTTCTCAGACTTTTTGCTCCACTGGTGCTGAAGTTTCTTAAGTAGATTCCTGAGCTCTCCCAGAACAATTTATCATTTGTGGCTAGCTCTCTAAGCATTGCACTTTTGGGGATGATGAAACCTGGCATCTCTTACTGTGCCGTCTTGGTGATGTCATTCCAAGGATGTTTCACCAGTAAGTGTGAGGTTAGCTGCAGAGTTTTTGTAGATGTTCTTTATCAAGATTAGGAAGTTCCCCTCTCTTGCTAGTTTGTGAGTTTTTAATCATGAATGAGTGTGAGGTTATCTGTTTTAAAATGTAGTTTTCGGAAATGAAAGAAGCTATCAAACAGGTTAGCTAGATAGCCCAGTCCCAAACTGAGAAATGAAATGATCTCTTTCTTTTTTTTTAAATCCCTGGCATGGGGGAGGGGGTGGGAGGATGAAAAGGAAAAGAACTTCCATGTAATTGCAACATTTCTTCAGAATTGCAAATAGATACCTAATCTTTTAAGTAAACTACTGTTTATTTTTTTAAATCACCGAATCAAGACATCTCTTTTTCAAGTTGTTTGTGCTGTAAATATATGTAAATACGGAACTGGTCTGAGGCAACATACAGTTTGCCAAGGTCATCTGTCTCTCTGTCACCAATCTCTTTTTACTCACAAAGCCCTGGAGGATGTATTAGGTCTTATTCCTGTCTATGCCACTGGAAGATCAGTTTCCTTACCACTTGGCTCATTTGCACTTAAATGGAGTCTGGACCATAAGGTTGGAATCCACATCAGGTGCTAGATGTCTCCTCTACCCTCCTCAAGGGAGCTAGGTATTTGGAGTAAATATTGAGTATCTAGCATAGGGTTTGCTACTAAGTAGATAGTCACTACATATTTGTTGAATAATTGATGACCATTTAACAAATTTTCTGGACTGTTGAGACATCCAAACAAATGGGTATAATATCTTTTGTTTTTCACTCTAGCCTTTTGGTCCAGTGGGATTTATGAAGCATGCCCTCTCAATGTCTGAGGATGACCAATGGAAGAGACTACGGTCATTGCTGTCTCCAACCTTCACCAGCGGAAAACTCAAGGAGGTAAAAACATAAGAGGACTTAAATTGGAAACTCAAAGAATGAATATGGGCACAGGTAGAAAATAAGGTCATAGTCTGTTTCCAAGGGGTAGTCTGCTGAATTTGAGCTTCCCCAAAATGGCATTTAATCTCTATGTCCTAAAAGAAACATTATAAGATTGATTATAAAATGTGACTCAGGGGCCTCCCTGGTGGTGCAGTGGTTGAGCGCTGGGCTGCGAAGCTGCCCGCAGCCTCCGCAGCGCCGGTTCGATCCCAGGCCACTGGTGAGGGTCCCACATGGCGCGCAGACCTCTCCTGCCATGCCCACTGCTCCCCTCAGCAGTGTATTTCGTCAGTCTGCCTGTTCTGCTCCCAGCTCTGGCTCTGGTGAATTCTCTCACCCTCCTGTGCTTCTGTAAATAAATAAAATCTTAAAAACAAAAATGTGACTCAGTACTCATGCTCAGGTCTGCTTTCTTTTTTTTAAGATTTATTTTATTTATACAAGAACCGGGATACAGGCCAGATGTGAGGGAGGTGAGAGGATTCACCAGAGACAGAGCGGGGAACAGAACAGGCAGACTGACTGAAATACACTGCTGAGGGACCAGTGGATGAGACAGGAGAGGTGTGCCTCGCCATGTGGGTGGCTCCGAGGCCGGTGGGGAACAAACCGCACTGCAGAGGCTGTGGACAGCTTCACAGCGCTGCGCTCAACCACCTGCGCCACCAGGGAGGCCCTCGGGTCTGCTTTTAACTTTAGTGTTGTTGTATTTTGTGTTCAGATGTTCCCAATGGTTGGCAACTATGGAGATGTGTTGGTGAGGAACATAAGGAAGGAAGCAGAGAAAGGCAAGCCCGTGTCCTTGAAAAAGTAAGTAGGAGTGCCAGGCTTCTGAGTTGTCTTGAGGTGAAATTCCCACTGTTGAGTTACTCTTGTAAACCCACACAAAAGTGGGGGATTTTGGTGTCCACAAGAAGTGGACCAAAAAAAGCAGGACAGGATCAATTTATCTGTTTAATTGTCACCCCAAATATTCTGGAAGACAAAATACATAGTTTAGAAAGAAGAAACGCGATCACACCAAAGTATTGAGTGTAGAGGGGGAATGGAATGGTGAGAGGAGAAGTCACGAGGTACATATTGATGGGTAATGGGTGGGACAAGAAATATACAAAGTGAAATTTGAAGCAAATTAAAGCCTCTCATGATTTTGCTAAGGAAACTAGCAAAATACTAAGTATTAAGTTTTGCCGTCTCTCCTTCCTTCAGTCTCAGAAGAGAGAAGGTCCTGTGCAGGCAATGGGCAGGGTGACCATGTCAATTTTTAGCAATTCCACCCCTGGTAAAGGGCCAGCTGGCGCCTGATAAACTGGCACCTGATAAACACCTCATGTATGAATGTGATGGCAGCATAGATCCTTCAGATGATCCAGCAGATGCTTCTCAAAGTGTGTGGCTTTTACCTGTCTTGCCCAGGCATATGAATTTACATGTACTTGCTGCAGATATTGGGTGCAGATAGCAAAGAGGAGCTAATTTAAATTTTCCATGTCTTTCTTTCCTCAGCGTATTTGGAGCCTACAGCATGGATGTGATCACTAGCACATCATTTGGAGTGAGCGTTGATTCCCTCAACAACCCGAAAGATCCCTTTGTAGAAAATACCCAGAAGCTCTTAAGATTTAATTTCCTTGACCCATTCATTCTCTTAATAAGTATGTGGACTATTATTTTTCTTCTTTGTTCCTTCTTCCTCCCTTCCCCTGCCTGTTTCTCTCTAACAGCTTTATTGAGATATAATTCATTTACCCATTTAAAATGTCCATCAGCAAATGAATGGATAAGGCAAATATAATCTACGTATATATGTGTGTATACACATATATGTATATATAAGAATCTATATGTTTGTATGTATATATCTCTCTCTATATATGAATATATTCATAAAAGGAGAAAATCCTACCATTTGAGAAAACAGAGATAGCACTTGAGGGCACTGTAGTGAAATAAGACAGAGAAAGACAAATACTGTACAATATCCCTTATATGTGGAACCTAAAAAAACCCAACACACTCATGTTAAAAGAGATCAGATTTATGTTACCAGAGGCAGAGGCTGTGGGTGGGAAAATGGGAGGAAAGCACTCAAAGGTACACACTTTCTGTTATAGGATTAGTGAACACTGGAGATGTGATACACAACATGATGACCATAGTTTACACTGCTCAATGTATAGTTTTCAGTTGCTAAGAGAATAGCTCTTGACAAGGGAAAAAAAAATTCTAACCATATGAGATCATGATGTTAAACTTATTGTGGTAATCATAGGCCAGTAACATAGGCCAGTCAAATCATTATGCAGTACATCTTCAACCTCTATAGTACTTATGCTAATTATAACAATAAAACTTTAAAAGGGCTTTTAGCACATTCAAAGACATAAAACCATCACTCTCCTCAATTGTAAAACACTTTTTGTCAACTCAGAAACCCTGTTTTGTAACTATTACCTCCTGTTTTCCTTAGTTCTAAGCAACCAGGCATCTAATTTCTGTCTACATAGATTTGTCTGTTCTGGACACACTTCCCATGTATATAGAATTATATAATGTGTAGTCTTTGTGACTGAATTCTTTCATTTAGCATTATTTTTCAATGTTCATCCTTATGTAGCATGTACCAGTTTTTATTTCTTTTTATAAACAAATATTATTCCATCACATAGACATGCTAAATTTTGTTTATCCATTCAATAGTTGATGGACATTTTGGTTTTTTCTGCCATTTGGTTCTGCCATTTGGCTATTGTGAACAGTGCTGCTTTCAACACTCATGTATAAAATTTTCTTTGAAAACCTGTTTTCAATTCTTTTAGGCATATGCTCAGACAGAATTGCTGAGTTTTATAGTAATGCTATGTTTAACTATTAAGGAACTGCCAAATTGTTTGTCTCATTCCCACCAGCAATGTATGAAGCTTCCAATTTCTCCATATTTTTGCCAACTCTTGGTGAATATTTTTTCTGTCTTTTTGATTATGACCATCCTAGTGGATGCAAAGTGGTAGTTCATTGTGGTTTGATTTGCAATTACCTGGTGTCTAGTGATATTGAGCAACTTTTTATATGTTTTGTGAAGTTTTTATATATATTTTAAAGATTTATTTATGCATACAAGAACTGGGGTACAGGCCAGAGGTGTGGGGGGTGAGAGGATTCACCAGAGACAGACTGGGGAGCAGAACAGGCTGATTGACCAAAATACACTGCTGAGGGGAGCAGCAGGCAAGACAGGAGAGGTCTGCCATGCCATGTGGGTAGCTCCCTGGCCGGCCAGGGATCGAACTCGTGCTGCAGAGACTGTGGACAGATTCATAGTGTGGTGCTTAACCCCTTGTGCCACCAGGGAGGCCCTTTTATATGTTTAGATAAATATCTGTTCAAATTCTTTGCTCACGTATGGTCGGATTGTCTTCTTGTCATTGAGAGAGTTCTTTATATGTTCTAAATTGATTTTTTAAAATCATTATTCTTTTCAAATTTAAACCTTATAATGATAAATTTCTCTCTGAGCACCGCTTTTATTACATCCCATAAGCTTTGGCTATTCAGTTTTATTCATTTCAAAGTACTTTGCTATGTCTTTATTTTTGGTCATCTCAAAGTAATTTCAAGCTGTTCTTTTGATTTCTATTTTAACCCATTGGTTATTTATGAGTGTATTGTTTAATGTATAACTATTTTTGAGTTTCCCAATTTTCTTTCTGTTATTGATTTCTAATTTCATTTTGTTGTGATTGAAGAATATATGCATTATTATGTGTGTCCTGACTAATATTTTTTGAACAGTACAATTAATTAAAGTAGTAGACTGTAGTCTGGTGCATCCAAAGAGCCTCTAGTACCATAAATAAGGGACCGAGAAGTCAAGGAGTTTAATTCCGTTTCTTGGATTACTACAAAAGCATAGAAGGGGCTCGCTGCTGTAGTGGTGGCCCCATGTGTGACTTTCCTTGCTCAATGAATGGCTTGGAAGTCTGAGCCAAGGTCTTAGAGGAAATGGCTCCTGGTTGAGAATTCTGTTTAATTACTCTTCTGGTTAGTAGAAAAAATTGTAATTTGCTGGTATATTATTTTTTTATCATGTTTTCTTTTTCCCTACAGCTTTCTTCCCATTCTTAACACCCGTTTTTGAATTATTAAACATCTCTCTATTTCCAAAAAGTGTCACTGGTTTTTTCAGAAACTCTATAAAAAGGATGAAAGAAAATCGCCTCAAGGATGACCAACAGGTAAAATCTGGTGGTGGTTACATGAGAGTATTCACTTTTAGATGAGTTATTGAGCTGTATATGTATGATTTAAATACTTCTTTGTATTTTTTTAACTCTAAGATTTAAGGCAGAAAAGGTCTAACATTTTAGGGGGAGTGAAAAAGATGGAAGTTGAGAAATGAGATAAGAAAATGAATCAGAGAGACAACGTTTAAAATTTAATAATAGACATTACAGTTAGAATGTTACTACAGAAATATTAGAGATAAAAGCTTTACCACTTCTCTGTAATAAATTATCAAAGGATAAAAAATTACTGTTTAAAATTATTTTTCTGTTATGATAATTTTCCCAGATCTTACAGTGACAAAGAATCACTTCAATTCCAAGCCTCTTATTTTGTACATTCTCATCAGGTTACCTGGTGCAGTACAGTTTATTTAAATTAGAGCACTCATTTATATCTTAGGAAAGATATAAATTTTCTCTGGCCATTGAGGCTGTAAGTCAGCTAACCATCTTTGCCTTCATGAGGTGTAGAGGCCAGTACCAGGATGTCTGCAGGTGAGAGGACAGGGCTGAGTGCTCCAAGATGTCAGTGAAGAGTGTATAAAATTCTGGTAGGGTAGCATTTGAAGATTCTCACACAAAAACGGCTAATGAACTCTGGCCATTCATTGTTAAGACTGGAGGGAAAAAAGGATTGCAGTCAGGAACTTCTTAAGGGATGACAGGAGAGGGAGCAGGCTATTCTTTGGCCTGGAAGCTGTGTTCAAAAGTCAGAGAAGCTGAGGATCAGAGAAAGCAAAGACCAAAGAGCAGCTGGACATGAAGGCTGGATTTCTCTCAAGGAAATATCCTGCCATGCAAGATTTAGAGTGCCTTCTTTGTTCAGGAATGATTCACATGGTACTGGTCAGACTTCTGGACTCAAAGGGGCCATGTTCTAAGGAAGCAGGTTACCTACCACACTCCTGATGTTTTTCTGACTTCACAAGTGACTTTCTGTCATTGAGAATCTCTTTCTTCTTTCAGCACCGAGTGGATCTTCTTCAGCTCATGATCAACTCCCAGAATTCCAAAGACGCTGGCAACCATAAAGGTAACCAAGGAGTTGCTTCAGAGGGCCACAGATGGGGAGGCTCAGAGGTAGAGGATGGTTCTGAAAATATGCAGGAAGTTCTCTAGGCAGATGAGAATTTCTTCCAAATCAAAGATACATGTTCAGGTATTAACTGTAGCTAAGGCACTTCTAGAAGCATACAGCACAGTTTTGTTCAAAGCTTGGAAGATAACCATAAACAAGCATTTCAAGCCCAAAAGCCAGTGATATGAAAATTAGCTGCACCAGAAACTCTGGGGAACTTGATTCCAATGTCAATTCTCAGAGTTCATCCAGACCCAGTGAATCAGTATTCTTGCCTGGGAATTTGCAGCACATTGGGATAGATATTACCCCAGTCTTGGACCTTAACTCAGACACTTGATTAAAATTGTGTTCACAGAATTAATCTACTGTAAAGTTTTATTTTTCTCTTTGTCATTAGTAAGTAACTTGTGGAGGATGTCTTTGTAAACAGTCTGGCCCTCTCTAAGCTTTCACCTACTAGTTTTATCATCCATGAATAGTGTTTGGCTGAAACCACCGTTACTTTAATGGCTACAAGATGATGACTATCTAATTCCAATATTTCATCTACATGTATTTAGTTGATGTTCCATTGTAAAGGAGAGCTTTCCATTCTGCCCCTTTTATTTATTTGTATCTATCTGTATGATCTCATATATAATTAATTTACTCTTACATTATTCTTTATTTTGAGACTCGAGTTTTCTTAAATTCCATTTCAGATGAGATCCTGTGTCCTTTCTTATTCTTTTGTGGACTCTGTTAGAGCAGTTTTAGATTACAGCAAAATTGACTGGAAGATGAACAGATTTCCCATATGTCCCCTACCTACTCATAGAGGAAAGGAGAAAAGAGGGAGGAGAGAATATAGACCTTGAGAGAAACTGGATCAAAGACAATTTTGTCTTTTTCTGACCCTATGAGATAGACACCCGAGTGCAAAACACTCCCAGTTAGATTGGGTTGCATTCCCAATTCCTCCCTAGGGATTTGGGAGTTTCATATGGATTTATTTCTCATCATCTAAATTGGGATGTTTTACATCAGCTTGCTTAATTGAAAATGTCTTTCTTCCCCTTTTAGCGATGACTGATCTGGAGATCATGGCCCAATCTATTATCTTTATTTTTGCTGGCTATGAGACCACCAGCACTTCCCTTTCATTTATTATGTATGAACTGGCCATTCACCCTGATGTCCAGAAGAAATTGCAGGAAGAGATTGATACCACTTTCCCCAATAAGGTGAGTGGGTGATCCCTGAAGAGGGGAGGAGAAGGTAGAGCCTTAGTAAGAATGCCTCCTCCATTTCCTGGGAGAATTTTAACTAAAAGCATGAATATCAGTTCTTCCACCTGTGCTACTTAGGAAAGATATGAAGAGACAAAAGCAAAAGAAGGAAAATAGGTAATCTATGCTACTCACAGAAATAAAAGATCTTTGAAAAAATGCTGATTCTTGTGTATCAGTTATATGGAATTCTTTGTGTTATGAAGAGACCTAAGTTAAGCCCGTAAGCAACAACCAGGGGACTGTTCCAGGAACAGAGAATGGAGCTGAGTGTGAGGTTCTGACCCTCTTGTAACTTTCCCTAGAACTGAAGTTGTGTGCCCTGGAGGCATCCAGTCACACCCTTCTTTTACCATATTTAGCTTAGAAAGGAACTAGTTTCCCCCAAGTTATTTATAGTTTTTATATAATAAAACATTTCTAAATTATTTATATTTATAAATACATTTTATATAATATAAATATGTATATATTTATATTTCATGTATGAATATATGTTTATACTATATAATTTGTTTCTATGTAATCATAACATTTATTTTTATACATAATCAAAAGAGCAAGAGGGATTTTCAATGAAAAAGCTTTGTGTTGAACGTGGACTTTTTCTTTTACATGTTCTATTTCCCTGGTACAGGAAAGAGAACAGTGACTTTGAAATAATTCATATAAGATTAGTGGTCATAGTTTACTAGTTAGACTGATTCACATGAGAACAAAAAACCACTGGATGGTAAAGTGAGGGATTTCAGGGATGTTTAGGGGATTTTCCTACAGGTCTCCCACAGTTATAACTATGCCACACATCTCAAGGGGCCTCTGAGCAGGTCAAGGACATGATAGATATTAAAATGCCTACAAACGCTAAGGTCTTCAGCCATAATCAGTTGTTCTTTGGAGCTCTTAACTTTTCAATAATACTGCCTACACTGATTGAGAGTTCATCTCAAATCTTACTTTATCAAACTCTGGTCCTTTCTTCCCAGGCACCACCCACCTATGATACCGTGATGCAGATGGAATATCTTGATATGGTGGTGAATGAAGCTCTCAGAATATACCCAATTGCTGGTAGACTTGAGAGGGTCTGCAAAAAAGATGTGGAAGTCAGTGGGGTGTTCATTCCCAAAGGAACAGTGATCATGATGCCAATCTTTGTTCTTCACAAAGACCCAGAGCTTTGGACAGAACCAGAGGAGTTCCGGCCTGAAAGGTACAGTGCCCCCGGGCAAGGGCGCCCACCCTGGCCTGGCTGGTTGAAGCATGTTCTGATGTCTCTCAGAAAAGATGACAAACATGTGATTGTACAATCATTTATTTGCACATTTTTTTCTTTTAAAGGTTTTTTTCCTCATTTAAAAGAGTGATCACGGTTGTCAAAATTTTACAAAGTGTAGAATAGAAAAAAGAAATGTATGTCTACAGTCCCAATACCTTAAGATAGACCGCATTATAATAATGTGGTATATGTTCCATCTGGATATTTTTCTATGCATATATAGATTTTTTAAATTGGAATGCATTGCATCATATTTGGTTTTGAACCGCCTACTTTGTTTAACAGTAAACTATAAACAATATCTTATGTTAATTTCCCCACATATATTTATGAGGTATATATACAGGTGTAATATTCTGATATATATACACGTACACACACAGTTGTACCAACTAACTTAATGCTTTGTCTTCTCTCTCTCTCTCTCTTTTTCTCTCTCTCCCTCCCTCCCTGCCCTCTGTCTCTCTCTCTCTATTTCTCTCTCTCAATAATTTCCTTCAGTCAGGAAATTCTTTGTCTTTCCAAGTGAGAACAGCTCATTACCCTGAAGGTAATTTTAATGGTTACACATCTTCTTTTAAACAGAATTCATCTTGTCTCTCAATAATAGTGGAGCGCCTATGAAATATGGGAGTGAGAGGATCTGTAGTTTACAATTCTCATAACAAAATAACATTGACAGGGTTTTGATGACTAGCCCATGAAAGTACTCTCTGTAGTATTACTGCTTTTTGAATCTGAGGACCTCAAACATGTAGCTCTTGTGGTTTTGTTTCATTAACTTGTTTTCATCAACTATTTTGCAACCAGGTTTGGCAAGAATAACAAGGACAACATAAATCCTTATATATATATGCCCTTTGGAAACGGACCCCGGAACTGCATTGGCATGAGGTTTGCTCTTATGAACATGAAAATTGCTCTTGTCCGAGTACTGCAGAACTTCACCTTCAAGCCTTGTAAAGAAACACAGGTCAGACAATTGGCTTTCTGCAAAATAATTTTTATTGGAAGCTGTTTCTTTCCTGAGGGATGGAGATAAGAATGTGCTCATCCATCCTTTACTAATTTATTCTAGTGGCCTGAGAATCTATTTGGAGCTCTCTTTGAGCTTCAAGGGCCCTTAAGCTTTGGAGTGCTGTCTATGACTTCATAAAGCCCCAATTCTAAAATTATCAAAAGTCAGCATAGTTAGTGCGACATGGTTATATATAGTCCTTGGAACGTGACCAAAGTTTAAATTCAGTTTCCATCAGAAAAGCGAGGGTGAGGGCCTCCCCTGGTGGCCCGGCGGTTGAGTGCTGGGTTGCGAAGCTGCCCGCAGCCTCTGCAGCGCCGGTTCCATCCCCAGCCACCAGCGAGGGTCCCACATGGCGCGACAGACCTCTCCTGCCACGCCTGCTGCTCCCATCAGCAGTGTATTTCTTCGTTGGTCTGCCTGCTCTGCTCCCCGCTTTGGCTCTGGTGAATTCTCTCACCCCCCTGCATTTCTGACTGTACCCAGTGCTTATATAAATAAATAAATAAATCTTTAAAAAAAAAAAAAAAAAAGAAAGAAAGAAAAGCAAGGGTGCACGGTCATGAAGTACAGCAGTGAGTACATCATGACTTGTGAACAATGAAATTCTTCTTCACCAGAACTTACAGAAACTCTCATGGTTTCTGTACAGTTTGATTCTTGACTTTACAATGGAACCATCCAGAAGCTTAAAAAAAAAATCCTAAAATGTAAATCATCTCAGACTTTCTAAAGTAAATTACCCAAAGTGTGGTTTTAAAAACTCCTGCATCGATTCTCATGTGCAGCCAAGGTTGAGAACCATTGATCTAAAGCATTTCTGCCAGAGCTCTTGGATACACATTTTAATTCCAAAGATTTAACAAATGACATTTGTGCTCTGTGTGTGTGTGTGTTTCTACCTGCAGAGGAAATATATCCCTGACATTTGAAATTTTTTTTTTAAAGATCCATCCATTTATGCATACAAGACCTGGGGCACAGGCCAGAGGTGCAGGGGGGTGAGAGAATTCACCAGAAACAGAGTAGGGAACAGAACAGGCAGGTTGACTGAAATACACTGCTGAGGGGAGAAACGGGCGAGTCAGGAGAGGTCTGCTGTGCCGTGTAGGCCACCTCCCTGGCCGGGGATCGAGCTTATGCTGCAGTGCCTGAGGACAGCTTCATAGGTTGCGTCTAAACCCCCTGCACCACCAAGGAGGCCCACATTTGAAATTTTTAAATAACACTTATAGAAAGATCTGAAATCAGTTACCATTGATTCATACCAAGCAATGTCTTATCAGGCTTATTTCTAGTACTTGTAGATTTAATATGCAGCTTCTTCTCTTTAGTAGGCTTCCTCAGGGGAGAAGAGAATAGATAGTTTCCATATTACTTGTGGCTTTAGGGAAGTTCTGTAGCAGTTCCTACATAAATATGTACAAAGAAGAGTCCCAACCCCTGAGAGGAAGTAGGCTCTGGTTCCCTTGCAAGCTCCTAGGATTTGCTTGCCCCTCTGGTCAAACTGCAATTAGAATGTGATTCTGTTGGTGGCTCTCCCAGCACTGAAGGAGTAACTTGGTGATAAAGGGGCTAAAAACATGAGTCAAAGCACCGGAAGTCTTCAGAAGTTCACCATTTGTACCACTGTTGGGAGCCAGGATATGTTAGAAAACAAAAGCATAATGCTTCACAAAGACCTAGTCCCAGCGTGAAAATAGATGGGTTCCACAGGGAATCATGCCTGGAGGTTTTAGAAGTCAAAATTAAAGTGTGTAGCATCTACTTACTTAATTCTAAGTTTTCAACATATACAAAATTAACTCTGTGGCTTTTCAAAATAGTTTGCCACAGTGCATACAAATAAGGTTTCAATTTTAAAAAAATCATACCTTTTACTTAAAATTTAAATAAAAATGAACATAAACCAACATTTTGTCTGCAGCCTGGTTCAGAATTGGTGTTCAATAGATATTTTGTTGAATGAGTGAATGGATGAATGCTTTTGCTATCCAGTATGGATATAGCTTATAAAATAAATATAGAGAATTAAGGATATATGATTCTAAATGTGGTTTTAGAAATTTCTCTAAAGCATTCTTTTCCTTAATTATCTTGCTTACTTTGCTTCTGGTTGGGCTCCATTAATCAATTTTCATATGTTTGTTTCACTTGTAGATCCCCATGAAATTTGGCAAACAAGGACTTGTTCAACCAGAAAAACCTATTGTTCTAAAGGTTGAACCAAGAGATGGGATTGTGAATGGTGCTTGATTCTACTTAACGACGTCCACTTTGTTCATCAAGAGCGCTATATCCCAGAACACCAGAAAGCTTATTTACTGTGTGACTAAAACCCAGAGGTGAAAATTGCCCTATACTACTGGACTCAGTGGATGACTAGGGATTCTGTATATTCATTTAGTTTTCTTTTGAGAGTACTTCATATTGCATTATATGAAGGAGGTGATTAAGTGTCAGATATGGAGACCTGTCTTCTCTGGTCTTCTGAGGACTATCTCCATATACCACCCCCAGTTAGAACCATCTTCTAAGCACTGATCAGGAATTAAAATTTCTCAATTTTATCAACAAACTTTAATGAAGACAATAATTTATTGTGGTGACTGCAGCACTGACATTTATATCATGACCACTCAGTCATGAAAAAGAATGCAACCTTGCCATTTGTGGCAACATGGGTGAATATTGATGGGAAGTACACTAAATGAAGTGTCAGATGAATAAAGAAAAATATACAGTTTTATTTATATGTGAAATATAAAAAGCAAGAAAAAGAACAAACAAAGGGGGAAAAAATCTCTTAATGGAAAAGAGATTAGTGGTTACCATAAAGAAAAGGAAAGTGAAGAGGATAAGGGTGGTCAACTGTATGGTCATGGGTAGACACTTAGGAATTTGGGGGTGATCATGGTGTAATGTATATTGGTTTTGAATTATAATTTTGTACCTATCAAACTTACATAATATTATAAACAGTGTTACTGCAAGAAAACCAATGTTACCTCAAGTGAAAAACAAAAAGAGAGCTTCCTAACAACCATAATCAATAAGATAGATCTCACTGGTCTATGCGAGAACTTTGGTGGTTTAGTGATTGTAGGGGCAGGAAGGTACAGAGCAGGTTTTCTATGATTTGAGCAGACCAGGTAAAGGAGGAGTCTTGGAGCCCTCGGGGCGGGGGGGGTTCTCAGGCTTTCATTGAGCTTTTACATGTAGTGCAGCAACCAGGTACACAGCAGGCAGGGGTGCCCGAAGGCCAGCAGGCCTCCAAGCCCCGGGCAAGTCTTCACTCTGGGCTTCTCTGGCATTCTTTTTCCTCTTCTCTCTCCTGCCTCTTCTGCTTCTGCTTCTCTCACACAGTATCTCAATACTGAGCCATGGCCCACAGAATAACTATATCAATGTAACAAAATGCAGGTCCTCCATCAGGCAGGGAAATCCTAATGGTGGAGGGCAGAAAAGCCTGAAAATCATTTACCCTACAGTGATTCAGCACAGGGTTATGGGGCTAGGGACCCTGAGACCAAATCCCAATTTTACTACCTTTTGACTGTGTGGTCTCAGGCAAATCACTTCAACAATCTGTGCTTATAAATCTCTTTAAAAATGATGGTAAAATACTATATGCATTATAGCATTTTTAAAATGATTTATTTATTTATTTATGTAAGAACTGGGGTACAGGGCTGAGGTGTGGGAGGGGGAGAGAATTTCACCAGAGAGAGTGGGGAACAGAACAGGCAGAATGACCGAAATACACTGCTGAGGGGAGCAGCAGGCAAGACAGGAGAGGTCTGCCACACCATGTGGGTATCTCCCTGGCCTGCCGGGGATCGAACTTGCACTGCAGAGGCTGTGGACAGCTTCACAGCGCTGCGCTCAACCCCCTGCACCACCAGGGAGGCCTATGCATTATAGCATTTTGTGAGAATTCAGTAAGTTAGTGTTTTAAAGCCCACAGGATAGTGTCTTAGTGTTGACTACAATTATAGCCTTTGAGTGATGCTGTCTCTCCCCAGCACTCTCCTTACAGCCTTTGCTGCATCCTTATTACGGAGAGTATAAATCAGAGGGTTCAGGGTGGGAGTGATGATGCTGTAGAACAGAGAACCAACTTTGTCTTGCAGTGGTGTGTGCTGGGACCTGGGTCTCATATATGAGAAGATGGAGGCACCAAAAAAAAAAGAAACTACTATGAGGTGAGAACTGCAAGTACCAAAGGCATTTCTCTTACTCCCAGCTGAACGCATCTGAATGACACTGTGGATGATAAAGACATAAGATGTAGCAACCAGGAGGATGGGGAGAAGGATTAAAATGATGCCACTGATGTACACTGTGGTCTCATAAACAGTAACATCTCCACATACCAACTTCACAACAGCTGGAAGCTCACAGTAGAAGTGGTGGATATTTCGAGGTCCACAGAAAGGGAAATGCATCAAGGTCACTGTGAGAATTAAGGAGATCATGGATCCTCCCAACCATGACATGACAGCCATCATCAGTGTCACCTTTCTGTTCATGAGAATAGTGTAATGCAAAGGATGGCAGATGGCAACATAGCGGTCATAGGACATGAGAGTTAGGAGAAGACACTCAGCACAACCCATAGTCAAATAGAGGAAATGCTGGGTTGCACAACCCACAAAGGAAATGACCTTCTTGCCAGATAGGTAGTTGGTCGCCATCTTGGGGATGGTGGTAGACACGTGCATCAGATCCATGAGGGAGAGCTGGCTGAGCAGGAAGTACATGGGTTTGTGCAGCCGGGGGTCAGCGCAGATGAGGAGAATGGTGAGGGCATTGCCACTCACTGCAACAAGGAAGACCAGCATGGTCAGGGAGAAAAGGAAGACATGTGTGAGGGAGTCATCAAAGAGTCCTTCCAGGATGAAATCTACCACCGAGGTCTTATTCCTCTGCCACATCTCCCTTTCCTCGGTCCCTGGGAAATCAGGAATGTGATATCTGAAGTACTGTCATTCAACATACCTGAGAATTAGCACCTTTTTCTCAAAGAATTTTTGAAGAACAAATTTCCAATTTATAATTACCAATGGCTCTAATTATTGACATAACCTTTTTTAAAAAGAGAGAACATAGTTTCTCTTCACAAACTTTATCACTTTAAAATTCCAGAATATCTACACTGTATTAAGTACCAAGTTTCAAAACAAGACTTCCTTCTCATTAAGTAGGGAGGAGAGACACACACGTGTATATTTATATGTATCTCTTTATAAGTATATTATCTATCCTATATTAAATGCAGATATACTTTTTATAAGTAACTATATATTTTTTAAAAAATACATCCGTCAACATTTAGAGAAACTGAACAAGAGACTTATACATACATAGTCTTTCAGTGGATTGTACAGAAATTTGGCAAAATTGTATATGCAGTTGTGGAAGCTGGTTTGGCAGTCTGTGTAAGTCTGTCACCTTTGTTTCTTACACTAGAACTTGGAGTCCATAGGGAGAGTGTTCAGAAAAGGATCATGGCTATAAAGTGTGGAAAGTCAATAGCAGGCTGGAACCTACAACCAGGGGCTGTGCCCCCCACACATGAAATCAGTCTTGTTTTGTTATTCTGGAATTGGTGGCGTGCTTACCTTCCCATTTTCTCCATCACGCTGAAACAACTGGTTTCTAGAACAGTGGATTGGCCTTTTGACAATTCAGTTACAATAGCTAAGTAAGCAGCACCTTGCACTGCTAGAGAAGTGTCTTCCTGGAGGTGATACTTATTCAAATTTGTACATCCATTACCAGTGGCGTTTATCCCATAGTCAGCATTCATAAGACTTGGGCTCAAGAAGTAGAAGTAGGAACAAGCTACTCGCTACAACCGCTATAATACCCACCAGCAAAATTTTTGTGCCTTTTCCTGTACATGCTTTGCTGTTTTAGAGTTCTCAGTTCCAAGGCAGAAATCTCTACCAGGGCACAAACAATAATTCCATTCACTGGAGTTGAGAACGATCTCTGCCTCTTTGGGCTTCTCCTGTCAGTGAATCAACAGGCAATGAATAGTATAGTAACCGGCTGGTGTGATTGACACTCACTGGCAAGGAGGTTGAGTTGCCGCTATGCCACAGGGATGAGGAGGAGCATGTCTGGATTTCTGCATTGCTGGAAATATACTAGGGTGATTTTCTGTCCTGAAGTGTTCTGTGATAAAAGCCAGTGGGAAACTATAACAATCTATTTCACATAGGACTACTAATGACCAAAATTTTTCAAATGAAGGTTTGGACAAGGAACCATGACTAACAGTGAGCAAAGGAAATAAGGGATGGTTAGCGAAAGGACGTGGTTATAAACACCAGATATGACCATGTGAGCAACTGCAGAAGTAAAAACTGTTTTAGTTATAGGTGTTTCTTCCCTATTTTGATGATGTTCAGTAGATACACATATTAATCAATTATTGTTTTATTTCCCACTGTCATCCTCTTCTAATTAAGATATTTTAATATATATTAATATATATCAATGATAGTTAACTTTATATCTCAGTACTAAGTAACAAGATATAAAAGGGGAGTATGAATCAGATAAGAGTAGAAGGAATTTTACCTAAAGATAAAAAAGGATTTCGTATCCTCTTTGGGATAAAGGGTTGGTGCCTTTTTATCCTCTTCTAGAGGAAAAAGTTAACATGCTCTCTATTGTCCCCTTGTCATGTTAGTTGGAAGGATAACTTGGTACTGTATTTGGAGATTAAGAATGGTTTTAAGAGATGTACATGCTTCCACATTGACAGATAACAAAGCCTCCGTACTTCACACTTGGAAACAAACAAGTATATTCTTCATTCTCAATCAGAATGACAAAAATAGGTTCATGATATTTAATCAACCAAATTCCCCAATTGTCCCTTTATCCAAGTCTCTTATGAATATTGATCAGATTCAGGGCTTGATATTTACGGTGAAGGCAAAATTTGTTTTTATCTACATTGATGACCAAAATAATGACACTGTTTCTTTTGTGGTTTTTTTTCTCCTGAAGATCTCCCTAGATCTCTGCGCATTCTAGATTCTCTACTACTATCTGAAGTAAAGAAATCAGAACTACATGCATTGTCCAATTAAAAAAGAGCCACTTTTATCTCTCTCCCTATTAATGCAGCTACTTGGCTGTCGCCTCACACTTATTTAATTGCAGCCTTTTCTGGACTAAAAGCTCAACTTTGCCTGATCACTCCAACCCAGTTAAGATATCTACATGTTTCCCTTTAACTTAAGTGTCCAAGCAGCTCCCTATCTCCTTCCTCATTAGCTCTGGCTCCCTCTGTTATCATTATAGCATAAATTTCCCACCCCCTGACTCATATCTCACATTCTCCTCTAGATGACACTCCTAATAATTTCCCATCTTGTTTTGTGATCCTCAGATGATTTTTTTTATCTGTCTTCTCGTAAACTTTTCCTCCTAGATTGATGAAATATGACCCTTTGACTGAAGGGATGGAAAAATTACATGACAATGTGAGATGATTCCAGTTTCTAATAAATACACACTGGATAATTTACTCCCCAATATTATCTTACCTGGAATATGCTCTGTAAAGACCTGTGGGTACATCAAGTACAGAAGTGAAATAGAGAGGGCAGAGAAGGTCCGCACTGACTCACACATTGGCTACTGATCATCCAAAGGAGACTTTCCTGGGGTGCGCATCAGAATTTCTTCTCTGACCCAGGAAATCTCCATTTACTAGTGAATGACAAAGAGAATGATGTCTACATACATTGTGGACATAACTAACCTGCAACAGAACGGGAGCAGAAGCAATAGTACATGTAATTCTGTGGTGCTCTTTCAATTTGCTAAGATTTTAATTCCATCAGGACATGTGAAGTAATTGAACTTGACTAAACCTCTACTAGATTGCTCTTTCAGTCATGAATATGCTTCCTCTACCTCTAAAGTTATATGTAAGCTGTCTCTGCATCCCAAAATGGCAATGAGAGTAGGAGCAACAGGAATTTCCTTTAATGTTATCTGATTAAGAAGCTACAGTTATATGTGCGTAATGATTTATGAGTCCACAGTCAAAAGAAAAATCTATTCTAATTTTTCTGCTACTTTGGGTCACTCCAGGCACTTTTTGCTTGGATTTACACTCTTTTCCTACTTAATGAAATAAGAATTTTGGCTCTAGCACTGTTATTTTAAGCTCTTCCCTCCCTCACTGCATGAATGCTTCCTCAGCAGAAATCACGGGGGTTAGAAGGAGGACACACTTGGTCTGATAGGAACCAATCATGAAGGGTAAGGAGCATCTCCTGTAAAAATAAACCTTACCCCTAACTCAGAGGACCTATGATGTCAACTGAGATAAATTGAGGACACTTAGCATATGGCATCAGGGATTCCAACCCAGAGGACAGATCTGAATCTCTGTTGGAAATCAGTACTGAAGATGCCAATTAGACTTGCTGTAGGCACTGATATAAGCATTCCCAAAGGGCTTAACTTGGAGGTTGTTTTTTAGGGGTCAAGGGAATGAGATGTTGTGAGGAATGAGATTCGGAAGATAACAAGGGAATTGGAATATCTTGGGCCAATTAACCAATTCTAGGACAATTCCTAGACCCTGTGGATAGTTTTTCATCTTAGAACCCAGATCTTTCTACCTTCTTTCCATCCAACCTATTAAACAATCCTAGAAAGACCTAGCTCTATTGCCCACAGGATCCTTTTGAAAAGAAGTCAAGCAGTGAGGCCAGGCAATTACTGCTAGTATTCCCCATCTTTACTGCTGGCCATCCAGAATGTTAATGATCACATTAATTCCATGTGAGACTATGTAGATAAGGGAGCAAAAGAAGAAAATGGCATATTCCTACCCCTCCTTCTTATTTCCTCCTCTCACATTCTCATACCCCATATTTCTATTCATTCTAAAGATAAATTAAGCTATTCTACTTCTCTCACTCTCTCAATTCAGATATTAAAATGTCTTATTTCACAATATATTTTGTGGTTAATTCTTTGAATAGATTCAATTATCACTACTTTCTTCAAAACCTATTGTTCATGCTTTTACCCAGTACTCTCCTTTCACCAGGACATTACATATTTCTAGTGAAGGTAGCTGTGGCATCTATACAATTCATTGATTTCTATTTTGACACTATGTCCCAAACATCATATTGGCTAACATGTGTGGGTCATCAAAAGCAAGCATGGTCCTTCCCCCTCTGGACTTAGAGATAAAACAAATAACTAAACAAGTATAGTATATCTTATTGGGTTAAGAATTTGTCTTAATTGATACTCATCAAATGCAAGTGACATAAAACAACTTATACTAAGGGAATGATGTGGGGTCACAAGAATGAAATACTGCTGGCATTTCATGTTTACACATATTTTTGTTAATAAAAATAATCATGGGAAAGGATCTTTATATCATTACCTTTTTATCATTTTTCAAAGTGCCATTGCCTTTATATGTCTTCATTTAAAGGATATTGAAAAAATTTTGGCAATTCTCTTAAAGATATACTGAGGCATACTTGGTATATACACTAAGTGTTTTTTGTGTCCCCAAAATTCATATGTTGAAAATTAATGCCCACTGTTCTGGTATTTGGAGGTGGGGGGTTTTAGGGGATGATTAGGTCATTAATAGAATTAGTAAGAAAACCCAGAGAACACACACCATCCACCATGATAGAAGATGTCCGTCTAAGAACCAAGAGTTCACTAGACCCAAGGTCTAGAACTCACTAGATACCAAATATGCCAGCACATTAAAATTCAACTTCCCTTTTTTAAAAAAAGATTTATTTATTTATGCATACAAGAGCTGGGGTACAGGCCAGAGAGGCGGGGGGGGGGGTGGGGTGAGAGGATCCACAAGAGACAGGGTGGGGAACAGAACTAGCAGACTGACTGAAATACACTGCTG